TTTTCCTATAACTTCATACCTGAAAGTGGTTTATTCCTCTTATACCACAGCAATTTGCCAACGATTACAAATTTTAATTTATCAATGAACAACAACTACTTTCTACCCTTTTATATTTACATCTCATGTTCTAGGACATCCATGTAAACCTGCCATGTTCAAACACGGTCAAACAGTCACCCTCACCGGCCGTTCTTTTTCCCTCTTTCTTGAAGTCAGTAAGACAAAAAAGCAGCAGCTTGGCATCTTACTAAGGAACTAGAAAGCACAAAGTCCTGAATGCTTTCACATGGTGGAAAACTTAAAACTAGGGCTGGGTGATTATATCGATATTGTGATAAATGGTTTCGCGATATACTTTTCTGCGATACCGTTGGTAATTTTGACGTTTTCAATCATTACAAATGAAATTGTACTGAATGGATGCCATTGATTTAACATAGTATTTTGAAAAACCTAATCTTGGTGTTTGTAGGCATTAAAGAAAAGTGTCGTCAAATTGTCGGTTTAACCATTTTTTGTTTGTTTTACTGCTGTTTTGCAGATCATTTGTTAGCTAAATTATATATTGCGATACGAATCGTGTATCATTGAAATGTCCTCAAGTATCGTGATATGATTTGATATTTTTCGTCTTATACCATGGTCTGTCGGAATACTCAATTCTGATTGGCTGGAAGGTGTGGGTTAAAACCGTGTATACCACAGGTAGTTCCGGTCAATGTAATCACCGTTCTAGATTAATGCGCTGCTTATAAACAACTGTAACCATTGTAACATATACAGTGCCTTGCGAAAGTATTCGGCCCCCTTGAACTTTTCAACCTTTTGCCACATTTCAGGCTTCAAACATAAAGATATAAAATTAAAATTTTTTGTGAAGAATCACCAACAAGTGGGACACAATTGTGAAGTGGAACAAAATCTATTGGATATTTTAAACTTTTTTAGCAAATAAAAAACTGAAGTGGTGCGTGCAAAATTATTCGGCCTCTTTACTTTCAGTGCAGCAAACTCACTCCAGAAGTTCAGTGAGTATCTCTGAATGATCCAACGTTGTCCTAAATGACTGATGGTGATAAATAGAATCCACCTGTGTGTAATCAAGTCTCTGTATAAATGCACCTGCTCTGTGATAGTCTCAGAGTTCTGTTGAAAGCGCATAGAGCATCATGAAGACCAAGGAACACACCAGGCAGGTGTGTAATACTGTTGTGGAGAAGTTTAAAACCGGATTTGGATACAAAAATATTTCCCAAGCTTTAAACATCGCAAGGAGCACTGTGCAAGCGATCATTTTGAAATGGAAGGAGTATCAGACCACTGCAAATCTACCAAGACCTGGCAGTCCCTCTAAACTTTCAGCTCAGACAAGGAGAAGACTGATCAGAGATGCAGCCAAGAGGCCCATGGTCACTCTGGATGAACTGCAGAGAACTACAGCTGAGGTGGGAGAGTCTGTCCATAGGACAACAATCAGTCGTACACTGTACAAATCTCTGCAGTTATTTGCTAAAAAAGTTTAAAATATCCAATAGATTTCGTTCCACTTCACAATTGTGTCCCACTTGTTGGTGATTCTTCACAAAAAAATAAAATTTTATATCTTTGTTTGAAGCCTGAAATGTGGCAAAAGGTTGAAAAGTTCAAGGGGGCCGAATACTTTCGCAAGGCACTGTAGTTAAACTCACAGCTTCATTATCAGTAAACAGATGCTGTAATTCACACACGCAGTCTCTCTCTGTCTGTCTCAATCTCGCTCGCTCTTTCTTTCTGTCTAATAACCATTTACTATAATTCATTCAAATGAATGTATTCTTAAAGCACTACTAATTTTGTAAATGAATTAGAGCAGGTGATATTCTAGATCTAACGACCTGTATATAAAATAACTAACGCTGCAAACATCAATGACTTATTTAACTTGCCAGTATTTGCAAGTGACCATGGTACAAGCGGCATAATCCACAGCTAGGTGTGCGTTACACGATTTTAATGCCTTACTTGGTGGTTCTTTGCCTCCACGTCATAACACATACCTAACCGTGGACTATCTCTTACTCGTCGCCCAACCCCAGTTACAATGCACTAACACCCGAGACATTAATAGAAATCTGAGAAATTTGAATTGCAGCTCTGATTATTGTAAGAGCTGCTGTTATACCAATCAGATTCAAGAATTCTACAGCACTGTGGTATATGTTCAGCAGTGTGCCAGCATGGTAACATGACACTGCGAAGAGGATTTGATTAATAATTAGCGAGAGTGTTCAGAGCACGGTTAGCAATAGTTTGATGAGCATGTTTAGGTTAAACGATATTTGAGAGTAAAGCTGGGCTCTTTTGTTCTTGATAGAGAGAATATCATACAGCAGAGACTTCTTGATCAAGTTGGCAAATTCGCCAATGGCAAAGATAAAACCGGACTTTCTACCAGATCACCCAATAGTTCTGGACAAGGGGGTAAGCTGCTCTTTATAATTAATGGAGGCACATCTCATAAAAGTGAGTACACCCCTCACATTTTTGTAAATATTTGATTATATCTTTTCATGTGACAACACTGAAGAAATGACACTTTGCTACAATGTAAAGTAGTGAGTGTACAGCTTGTGTAACAGTGTAAATTTTCTGTCCCCTCAAAATTAATCAACACACAGCCATTAATGTCTAAACCACTGGCAACAAAAGTGAGTACACCCCTAAGTGAAAAGTCCAAATTGGGCCCAAAGTGTTAATATTTTGTGTGGCCACCATTATTTTCCAGCACGGCCTTAACCCTCTTGGGCATGGAGTTCACCAGAGCTTCACCGGTTGCCACTGGAGTCCTCTTCGACTCCTCCATGACGACATCATGGAGCTGGTGGTTGTTAGAGATCTTGTGCTCCTCCACCTTCCGTTTGAGGATGCCTTTCAGATGCTCAATAGGGTTTAGGTCTGGAGACATGCTTGGCCAGCCCATCACCTTCACCCTCAGTTCTTTAGCAAGGCAGTGGTCGACTTGGAGGTGTGTTTGGGGTCATTATCATGCTGGAATACTGCAACCATGTTGGCATTCATGGTTCCCTTAATGAACTGTAGCTCCCCAGTGCCGGCAGCACTCATGCAGCTTCATGACACTCCCACCACCATGCTTGACTATAGGCAAGACACACTTGTCTTTGTACTCCTCACCTGGTTACAGCCAAACACGCATGGCACCATCTGAACCAAATAAGTTTATCTTGGTCTCATCATGCCACAGGACATGATTCCAGTAATCCCTGTCCTTAGTCTGTTTGTCTTCAGCAAACTGTTTGCAGGCATCGTCTTTAGAAGAGGCTTCCTTCTGGGACGATAGCCATGCAGACCAATTTGATGCAGTGTGCGGCGTATGGTCTGAGCACTGACAGGCTAACCACCCTCCCCTTCAACCTCTGCAGCAATGCTGGCAGCACTCATACGTCAATTTCCCAAACACAACCTCTGGATATGATGCTGAGCACGTGCACTCAACATCTTTGGTCGACCATGGCGAACCCTGTTCTGAGTGGAACCTGTCCTGTTAAACCGCTGTGTGGTCTTGGCCACCGTGCTGCAGCTCAGTGTCAGGGTCTTGGCAATCTTCTTATAGCCTAGGCCATCTTTATGTAAAGCAACAATTCTTTTTTTTTTCAGATCCTCAGAGAGTTCTTTGCCATGAGGTGCCATGTTGAATTTCCAGTGACCAGTATGAGGGAGTGTGAGAGCGATGACATCAAATTTAACACACCTGCTCCCCATTCACAACTGAGACCTTGTAACACTAACAAGTCACATGACACCGGGGAGGGAAAATGGCTAATTGGGCCCAATTTGGACATTTTCACTTTTGTTGCCAGCGGTTTAGACATCAATGGCTGTGTGTTGAGTTATTTTGAGGGGACAACAAATTTACACTGTTACACAAGCTGTACACTCACTACTTTACATCGTAGCAAAGTGTCATTTCTTCAGTGTTGTCACATGAAAAGATATAATCAAATATTTACAATAATGTGAGGGGTGTACTCACTTTTTGAGATATTATATTTATATATATATATATATGTGTGTGTATATATATATATATATATATATATATATTAGTATGAATGTATGTACATAGATTACATTCGCATTCTAGGGTTGTTTCTATATGTCTTTAAATTTCATTGTCTATTTGTCATTTCACCTATTTACAGAGGGAACCAGGCTTAAACAAGGTGATTGGCAACAACTGCACTAAAGGGAACATGTAAGTACATTTATATGAATGCAAATAAGTGCTTAAAAGCAGCGGGTAGTGTTGCTCCCTCACAGCTTGGGGTCTCCGGTTCAATACTGAGCTTGGGTTACTGTCTATATGGAGTTTCCCTCGGGGTTTCCTCTGGGTTCTCCAGTTTCCTCCAGACTCCCAATAATAATAATCATAGTTATTATTATTATTATTATTATTATTATTATTATTATTATTATATGTTTATCTATATAGTACTTTTTAAGCAAGTGCTTTCCAATGGCAGAAGAAGACAAGCAGAATAACAAAAGCATCAGAAAGTTGCAAACGGTAGATAAAATTAATAAGCACACCAGATTAAAAAATTTATAAATTAATAACACAAAACATGAAATGTAATAGAAAATAAGCATAGACACAAAAAAGTCAGAAAGTGCTAAGAAGCAAAGCTGAGGTGCTTTAAAAAATAAAATAATAAAAATTATGTTTATCCAGTTTTGAGATTTTTTTTGAGCTGGAGAAAGCAAGACTGAACCACGTTCTTCACGTGCTTTGTAAAACGCAGATCTGAATCCAAACGTGCTCCTAGGTTTCTACAGGCAGGTCTAGCATAAAATATGAGCGCTCTAAGGTAAGAGTGTGAGAAGTTTGAGAATTTTTTTGGCAGATGAAAATTACTTCAGTTTTATTTGAGTTTGGCTATAAAGAAGCTCCACGACTGCCAGGTCTTAACATCAGCCAAACAGTCCTGGTGTACAGAAGAAGGCAGCGTTGAGATTTGACCTCACAACCTTCTGATCAGTAGTCCCATGTCTTAACCACTGAGCTACCACTGTCCACACTGGATGTTTAGTCATGAGTAAGGATCCTGCGTGACTGAAATGAAAACCTGCACCCACACTGGCCGTTTGTGGATAAGATTGGACACCCCTGATATAAACAAATCCAAAGATCTCTACTCGTGATTAAACATCCAGGAAGTTCAACCTATTTATTAAGACTATAAATTAAAATAGCATTATCAGTTGTATCAAAGCTGCAATGAGATCTAAAAGCATTAGAACGGAGTATTAATTTTTTGTCAACTCCCGATCATTAATAACTCTCAGAAGAATTGTTTCTGTGGCGTGATGAGGGCTCATGTGTAGGTCAAAGCTTTCTTCTATTTGTTGTTCTTTAAAATGTACAGTTAAAATAGTCATTTCATTTCAACATCTGTCCATGATGCTAATGAGTTCATTTCTTGTACAACAGATGAGAGACTCCAAATGCGCTGCTCTTTTCCTTATTTACTTGTAAGGTATATTTTGGTCGTTTGCACACATGAGGTTTGTTTTTTGTTCTTGTTTTTTTTTGAGTCAGTATGATTGGTGAAGTATGAACATTGTTTTCAAGCCTGGGAGTGGTTCAGAGATCCTCTCATTGGTGCTCTTGAAAATGGGGAAGAGAGAGTGTGGTCTTGTCACATCTGACAAAACCAGACATTCATAGGACTGAGCACTGTGGAAAATCATGTTGTTTTCAGGTATTCCTGCACAATGACATTCCATGCATAATGCAAATAAAATAAGTGTTGCTCTCCATCACTTCAATATTGGTGCCAAAGGAAAATAATAAGAAACAACGGATGAGCCTAGTACCAAGCATTTTTCAAACCTGAGTGCAGTAAGGAATTGTGCAGTTGAGCAATGGTTCAGAAGAAATTCTTCAATACGATTATTAGCTCCTCCCTCAACCAAGCCCCAAATTAGTCCTGAGTCAGGACTGTGTGAAAATGTTATATTTTCCACTAATTAGTTAAAGGCTTACAGCAGAACCCTGCATTTAATCTGTGCCCTAAGCGACTGCCCTGCATGCCCTGAATTAAAAACACTATAAATACTGTGAGATTAGACCTCATGTCAGTGTAAAATTCAGGAATAAAAAGCTGTTTGGTTCCAACAAGTAGCCAAATTATTGTTGTATACACTGATCAGCCATAACATTAAAAACCACCTGCCTAATATTGCATAGGTCCCCCCTGGTGCCACCAAAACAGCTCTGACCCGTCAAGACACGGACTTCACAAGACCTCTGAAGGTGTGCTGTGGTATGACATTAAGACGTTACCAGCAGATCCTTTAAGTCCTGTAAGGTGTGGCCTCCATGGATCAGACTTGTTTGTACAGTACATCCCACAGATTCTCATCAGATTGAGATCTGGGGAATCTGGAGGCCAAGTCAACACCTGGATATTTTTGTCATGTTGCTACGTTCTGACACCTTTCTATGATGGCCAGCATTAACGTTTTCAACAATTTGTGCTACAGTAGCTGTTTTATGGGATTGGATCAGATGGGCTAGCCTTTGCTCCCCAAGCCTTGGCATCCATGACCCTTTGGCTGGTTCACAGGTCCTGGTTTAAATCTTATGGCTTATCAGTGTGTATATATCGAATATTTGGATTACTTTTATAAAATGTATTGTATAGTTAAAGGGGTTCATGGCTGCAAACGCTTTGACTTCTTGGTATACAGGAATGAAAAGTTTTTTTTCATGTGTAATTGATAACACCTCTCTCTTCTGATCAGAATAAGCACCAGGCCATTGTGAAAGCAGAGACACAAAACAAGCTGATGTTTGTATGTCTTTTCTCTAGGTTTCCTGAATAATGATTCCTCTCGATGTTGAAATTTCAACAGAAGCTTACAAGCAACAAGACTTTGTACTCTGAAAAAAAGTACAGTACTGTATGTCATTGTCTTTGTGGAAAGTTTCCATTGTGACCTTTGACATGATTTAATTTTGGCAATTAGATCACATCCAGCAGTTTCCGTTTTCAGTGTAAAGTGTGTGTGGTCTTTAATTCTTACTTACTAACAAGCATTACGATGACCTTGTGTGACCTTTTTTTAATTGTTTTTTTTTTTTTAAGTGAAAGACTAATAGAGCTTTGAATTTAGGAATGTTGCATAGAGTTGTTCTGCACTTTGTCCCTGAGGAGACTCTATGCCTGGGGTCTACAATATGCAAAGTATACATGATTCCAGATTAGACTAAACTTTCTGCACATATTTATTTGCCAAAATGGACCTTGCTGCTTGTATGTCAGTGTGCCTAAGTGTAAATAAGGTGAATAAAGGGGTTTGCGATATGTGCAAGCATTTTGAGCGGTCATATTTAACGTGGTACTTTTCAGTTACCAAAGTCAATGCATGGACTCATTTTACTTATTATTCGAAATGTATCGAAAAGCAATATTTATACATATTGTATTTTGTAACTGTTTTTGTATTTTGTTAACTGTTTTGTTCCATGTTCTAGTCTTGAAAAACAAATACAAGTGTTATGCAAGAAAGTTTTTAGTTGTGAAATTATTCCACTTTGAGGGGGAAACTATGGATGACATGTCAATGTTAATTGTGTGTGAGTGTTTGTGTCCCGTGTAAGAAGACACAGTTGAAGCATGCAACTGGTTAGATTGCGCAAGTTGCACCTACAACGATGTTTTGTAAGCGACATCCAAGCCAACGACCATCATAGTTTAGGGCTGCAACTAGCGATTATTTTCATCATCGGACAGGGCGGGGCAAACTTTTAGTACCATTTTTCCGTTCATTTAAAATAAAATACACAAGCTGAGCGTTACAAATATAAACTTTAGACTAAAAGTTTATACAACTGTTTGTCCAATTATATAAAACTGAAAAGAACCCAATACACAGACATACCAGAATATATATTATTCATTTAGAACTGTAGTTTAGTTCAGTGCTTTTTGTGCATCCATGAAAATAATGCATAAATATTTATATATAATATAAACTATAAGTTTATATTATATAATATGCATTACTTTTTTATAAACAGTAACTTTGACATAAACAGTAAACTGAAGAAAGTCAATGACTCTGGTTATCTGCTAAAGCTAGCGGCGTCACATTACGTGTGTATGACATCATGTGCCGTCGACTAGGAAGCTTATACTTCCTGTTAGTAAAAAAATAAAATAAAATTCTTCAGCTGGGGTATTCATTTATAATTATGCATGTTGAATTCATATTCTTTATTATAGTGCAATTTTGATTTAATGTTAATTTATACATTAACTTACAAACATGTATTAACGTACTTAAGGTGGTCTTTATTCACACATGAATTCGTAAGTCTCATGACGTAGTGATTGTATCACGGTTCCCCCTTGAAGCAGCATGCTCTTGCGCGGTTGCGCATGCGTGTTGTGACACTTGAACATGTGCTCTTTGTTTTTGTTTCTGTCATTGGCTGGGAGGGCACGTGTGTTTTGTTTATGTTCGTCATGACCCCGCCTCGTGTCTGTCATAGGTTGAATCCCCACGTGTGTCTGTATTAGTCACAGCTGAAAACTGTGTAAGTTAATTCATGCGTCGAGCTTACTACGCTACCGCGCGCACACACGCGCGGTTAATTAAACATAGTATCACGTTCCTTGTTAGTTATAGTTCACGCTGGGTTATCCGCTCCCAGATCATTGTCATAGCTCACGTTCATGTTTATGCTTATGTTTGTTTCTCGACCCTGTTTTCCGTGCCACGTTGTTGATATCTGCCTTGCCCCAAGTTTATGCCTGTTTGCCGTTCGCCTGACCTTCGCTTGTTTTCTGACTACGCCTTTGGATTACGTTTTGGATTTGTCTGCCTGCCTCTTGTAAATAAACTACACTCGTTCTTAAGTGCGCTTACCTCCTTCCTTCATCCGCTCCGTCATGAGTTGTGACAGAAATTAACCGCCGTAAACATGGAGGTAGCACGAGAATGGCGAGGACGCCGAACCCAAAACCGCACGCCCAAGATTCCCGCCTTGGATTCCATGAGCTTCGCACAAAGGTATTCCGTGGACATGCCGGAGCCGTATGGTGGCTACTTTTACCCGGATGAGTTTTTGATGGACTGTCAGCATTATTTCTCCAGCCTATGCGACTTGAAGCCGACTGAAGGACGATTTATTCTGTTTATCATGTCTCGCCTTGTTGGCCCAGCTCGCGCATGGGCACAGCAAGTGGCAGCCAAGGAATCCCGGGTGCTGGAGGATATTTGGCAGTTTTTGGAAGTGTTTTTGGAGGAGTTTGGAGAACCAGGACAGAACTATGATCAGTTGCTGGAGGAGGTGAACGTGGCGGAGCGCCCATTCCACAGGTACTATGGGCAGGTGAGCACTCCAGAGGAGATGGACAAGACTTCCACCGCTCATCCAGGGAAGCGAGTTCCGCTCATCTCCAAGTTTCCAGACCAAGCTAAGTCTCCAGCCCCTGCCATGCCTCAGGTCCATGTCCCGGTCCAGACCAAGCCACAAGTCCAAGTTACCGTGCACCCTGCTAAGCAGAATCCATTCATCTCCAAGTCTGCCGACCCAATTCACAAAATTCCACTCACAGGCAAGTTCCAAGTTCAAGCTCCGGTCACAGTCAAGCCTCAGGTTCCAGTTGTAATCACGCAGAGTAAGAAGGAAATGGTGGAAAAAATGAGCAGAATGCAGTTGGAGAGTTTGAGCACTCTGTCTGAAATGGAGAAGAAATGCATCGAAGCTACTAAAGAATGCTCATCCGTGGAGTTGCAACTACAGGAAACACAGGTTTTGCTGAAAGAGGAGACACTCCGGAAACGGGTTCTGAACATGCGGCTCTGTCGACTAGTCTCAATCCGGACTGCAGAGTCTCTCACTATCTTCAAAAAACAGCTAAAGACCCACCTTTTCCGTGAACACCTAACCAACTCCTAAAAAAACCCCACAGACTTGCACTTACACCTCTACTCTGTACACTTTGCTTCCTCTGGTATTCAATTAATGGATCTTGTATAGTAGCACTACTTGTATTGTTC